TCTCTCTCTCTCTCTCTCTCTCTCTCTCTCTCTCTCTTTCTCTCTCATGATCGCGTTTGTTCGCTCGCTTACGACGCGGTTCGTCAGCATTAAACATAATTGGATATGATCGCGGTAATTGCGACGTTGGTGAGTGTAACGCGACACAACGAAGCATCGTTCTCCGATGAGGGCGTAATTGATAATCGTCTCGTTTTCTCTTCGATCTCGACGAGCTTGCTCGCTCGAAACGCTATCCACGTCGCGTTCAACAAACGGCTGTCGCGCTTTTAACGGGCTGTTTATGGTGACACTTTTATCGGGAGCTCTCTCGAGGCGCCAGACGAGAAAGCATTTATTTGTGGGTCGGTAAAAAGCGAAGATAGATGGACGGCGAGGCTCTCCTTCTCACTCTGCGTGCACACATGTACGCGTGTCCGCCGTCTCTTGTGTATATAATACATTAAAATCCTAAACACCTCGCCGATCCGCGCCGTGCATCTCGCGGCTGAACTTACGTGAGCACTCAGCGCCACGACGTCTCGCTGTGTTACATTAGCGTCCCTCGTAAGGATGGAACGTATCGCCCGGCCGGGCTGAAGCTCTCCATCGAAAGCCCCGAGCGTTTTCATCCCTCCCGGCGTGCGCACTCGCTGTCGATTTACCCTCGCGGGTCGTCGTTTCGCGAATCGCTCTCTCACTTCCTCTCACTTCCTCTCACTCACTTACTCTTACACACACACACACACACACACACTCTCTCTCTCTTTCTCACTTACTCACTTACTCTGTCTTACTCTCTCCTTCCTCGCTCTTTTCCCGTCTCCGTCATTCTTTCTTTCTTTTTCCTCCCCCGCCCCGAGACGCTGATGCTCGTTTTCGCTGAAAAATGAGCGCTTCTTACGGCCGCGGTCGTTCGTCGAATTGCGAGTCGTAAATTAGCTCACGTACCAGACGGACGTCGACTGGGGGGATGTGGACGAGGGGTGGGAGAGGGCAGGAAAAAAAATACGTTTCTGTGCAGAAATCCATCCGGCCGCCACCGCTGCCAGATGGATACGCGCGCGGGGGCAAATGTGGGTGTATATTGGTGCACTTTTGAAGGCGGACGCGAGGTGAGGCGAAAGAGATTCGACCTCTCGCTCAGATGAGCGCACCGCTTGATCCTTTCCGTTGGTCTTCGCCGGCGGGATGTCTTGCATCAATCTCCGATCGTGCTTCGGTGCAGCTCGATCGCCGTCGGACGAATGGACGCGGGGATGCAGAATTATAAAACTCGCGCGAGGGGTCTCGTGCGAAAGGAAACGCGTTGTTGCATCTTGTCATCCGAGGATTCTCCGTGTCCCATGTCCGTTGAAACATCTTCCTTCGGGATATCCGTATCGATCGTCGCGGCAAAATGACGCGTTACGTCCCAGGACGATTATTAACCTCTTGTCTTTGGGATCGCCCAGGTGTCGAAGATCGCGCCAAGGAAGACTCAATTTGATCTTTTATACGCGTGTTATATTCCTTTTTATTTCTAAGTGATACGATTGTATTGTCTTGACAATACAATCAACAATTTTCTTGACCCTCTACTTATTATTGGTTGTTATAATTCCGGAGAAAATGATTTTGATTATTCTGAGCAACTTATATTAGTCCTCTACGTGAGACCCGAATGAATATTCAATCGCTTACCACCAACTTTCGTGAGAGAAAACTCCAAGATAGCGCAAATATATTTGCAGAGATTTAGATTTTATTGCGCTATTATCTTATAGCTGAGGATCCTCTATATCTGTAGAAGATGTGCACAGGGAAAACACTGAGGAAATCATTTGCATAAATATGGTTGTCACAGCAAAATATTAATGTTATTTTTTGTCCATGTATACAAGATGGTTACAATAGCTATAGTCCTCTGGAAATGGTACATTGGCTTTCTTGGCTGCTTGTTTACACGTGTTTGGGAGAGGTACTCTCAGTGATGTATGGCGTAACCAAATCCTACGGATCTCTCAATCATAGTATTCGTTCTGTAGACCATAACTAAAAGACAACAATATTCCTTTAGTTGAGGCAACTACGTACGAGGATATACTAACTGAACATTATACATCATAAAAAGCTGTGAGATCTGTATAGATGGGCATATAATAACAGTAGCTGTAGCTATAGCTATAACTATAGCTATAACTGTGAGAACTGTATAGATGGACATATAATAACAGTAACTATTTTACTTGAAATCACATCAATTTTCTCTCTAATCATAGAATATGTAGATATAACAACTATAGTAGTTTTCTTCGTGTACGCGGAAAATTAAATATCGTTACTTTACGAGTGTTAATTGGTGAATTCGTGCATATTTCGTGAAATATGTGCATATTTATTTCAGTGAATGCTCGAAAAGAGCGAGGATATATGTTACAATTGGACGTATTTTACGCGCAGTTTTGCGAAGTTCTCTGAAAAGTTTGGTTATTATAAAATAATAACATTCAGTCAAGTTTGCTGTCAACAATGTGCAAATTGTTCGGCTCGCGAGGGCATCAAGTCCGGGAAAAGTGATTCGAACGCAAAGGATTAATCAGTGTCGCATTTGTATCACGCTGAAATCGAATGAGCAAGAGCAGCTTCGTAACAGCGTCCTCTCACGATTATTCTATCCGCACTCGAAGTTTACCAATACAAGTTTTCCTCTCGGGTCAGTCGACACGAATTCACGCGACGTCCTCTTCTCATGGAGAAGCATTTAATCTCATTAGTGCGAATCCTCGTAAGGAAAATCATCGTGGACACATACATGTACGCGCGCGCGCGCGCACACACACACACACACATATACGCGCATACACACGACTGTTTTGTTTTGCACGATCACAATGTTAAGGAGAGAAACGCATCTCGGCACAATTTAATATTACCAAGACGCTGCATAAATAATACACTTAAGTACCTCGCGTGCTCGCGCCGTGGTAATGAACTTTCGCGATACCCACGCGCAACACGCTGCATTAATAATAACTTCAGTATTGTTCCCGAATAAGATACTTATGCTCATGCCCATGTAAGAACTGACGTGAAGAACTTGTTGTAGTTCGACGACAAGTTCGAGCCTCCGCGCAAGTGATTATAGGTGTGCGACACCTGAGGATTCGGCTGCGCTTACGACGGATCTCCTCCGCAGGATTCCAACGTAGGTGGGCACAGGTCCGACATAGTCCGACATCGAAATTAATTCTAGCGTCGCGAGCGCGCACGACGGTTATCAGCGCGCCAGTTATCTGACTGCAAACTCCTGAGAAACGCGCGTGGGAACGCCACGACGCGTCAATATTTAGGAAGAATCTCAGTCGTCGTTTCTTGCGCGGACACAAACAGCGGCGTTATTACAACAGTATCTAACGTGTAATGTGTCCGCTTAAATATTTGATTTATTCGGAGTCAATACGCAACGCGGAGAGAATTCGCCCCCGGGGCGAAGACATTCGTGTGGCAAGACCTCTTTTCGTCGACCTTACGTTCATCGGCAGAATAACGCGCGCAGCCTGTTCGGCGAGTGCTTAGTAATTCCGTTGTTATTACGCCACGCCGCTGCATTGTTTCATTTGTGTTTATGTCCCGCGGAGCACGGTTAAAATGTGATTACGCCGACTAAATAATTTCATAAACGACGAATCCAGCGTGCTCATTCGTACGCGCGACGCAAGCGGTTCCGTATCGCCCGGGCTGCATATTTTACGTTTAGATTAATTAACAATCAGCCGCAGCGTCGCTCGTTACCCGATTGCAACACAATTTGTATGTCGGGCGTGCGTAAACCCGAAACTCGATGCGTCGCTCTAAAGGTGCGTCCAGACTTGCATCGTATCGTCTCGATCCGATCATGATATGATACCGCGACGAAGCCTAGTTTTCAACCTGCATAACCTTATATCTCGTATCTCTTATACCGTACACCCCCTCGACGTGTATCTTTGTTGCCTTTCCATTTGATACATCCTTGATTCCGCATTGTCTTCAGTGCGCGCAGACAATGTTCCTTTCTGTACACTTGGCTGCTACGTCTTTATTCGTTGCGCGTTAAAAAAGAAGAGCAGCAAGACACTGCGGTGGTGGATAAAGAGAAAAGCGACAGACAAAAGGAAAGCTAGTGTTCCTCGCTCTACTTTCCGCGTGAAAAGGACTCTTGCGATCGTGATACAGATCGGAGTAGTGTCTACAGGCTGACTGTGTCGCACATCGTTTCCTTGATGCAACGGCAAAATACCGACTCCAAGTCGGTCATGGTCATAGCGTGTCATCGTATCAATTTTTGATATAAGACACGTCTACACTTCATGATCATGACACAAATCTCGGTACTACAGACACGGCGATACGGTAGAACAAGTCTGGACGCGGCTTTAAATGTGTGAATGCGCGCACACACACATACACGATTGATAATGATTAATACACGAATTGATGCGCTGCTAATTTTGTGCAATCATAGTTAACTATGTGCGATTATTCTAATAGACGTTAATATCGTTTTGATTATCCCATGCACAAATTCATTCTAATGTAGAACCTTCCCGGTGAATAAAACAATATTGCTCGCGCACTCGGTATCGTGAGATCAACTTGTTAGAATACGTTTCACCCGCCAGTTAGCACGGCATCAAGAAGGTGACGCAACCTCGTTTCTGCTCGACGTGTCTTAGTGTAGACGAGAACTATAAGGGCGATTTGCAGTATTTCTTAAGAGCGTCATGATCCTTCCGGCTATGTGAGATTACCAAATTATTTAATGCCGGAAGCATTACCCGAGCGCGCGTCGAGGAATCTGTGATTAGAATAAAACTTTGAGGTTCCGCGCACATTCTTCTCATGCATACGAATTTCTCGGAGAGAGAGATAGGGAGAGAGACAGAAAGACAGAAACAGAGAGAAGAGCTCGCGCGACGATGTAAATTTTCCATTCGCCGCATCCTCGGCCGCTTTAGTCTGAAAATAATTAATGTGTATGCGGGTTTCTTGGGTTTCAGGGGAGCATCCGGCGGCCATGCAGCACGGGAACTCCAGCAACAGTGGCGCGGCCACGAGGACGCTGGCGTTGCTCCTGTTGCTCCTGCACGCCGGCTCCTTCGCGAGGTGACTGGTCGATCACGAGGAGTTGCAGTGAGGGAGTACGGCCGACGAGATAGTTTCACCTAGGCGATCGAGACGACAAAGGGTGATGCGAAGGGAAAATCAAGGGGAGACCGCCATCCCCGCTGACCACTCGCCACGGACTCCGTAAATCAGGCCGATCTTCTTTTCCTCCGTACCGCGATCGACTCGCCGGAGCGGGCGTGTGCGCGAAGAGAGACGGAAAAACGGACGCAGGGCGGATTGTGCTCAACAGCCGCGGCGTGTGCGGGGGAGCACGAGATTTCCAGCACCCCTTGCTCGCTTCCGGAGCGCGAGGCTTCACCGGCGAGGCGCCGGTTGACTCGTTACCCTCAAGCAGCCCTCGTGTGCCACGCGTTCGCGTGGCGGGACTTGACGGGGGCTGATCGATTCGTCCGCGGCGAACTTTTTCCTTCGCGCGATCGGCTGAATCGCGAGAGCGTGTGCTCGTGGATGTGCTCGCAAAATCGGAAAACGCGCGCGGAAGTTTGATGGCGCTCGCGGATGACTCGAGACGCGTAAACGGGCGAGGCGTGCGAAGACGAACAGGAGCGAACTGCAGGAACGAGGCAACGTGACGTGTCTTCCACGGGAACGAATGACTTCCCTCTCACGTCGACGGTCGCGGCGACGGAATTAGCATTTCTTTTCCCTGGGCGCGGGCATGAGTAGAGAGACGTGAAGAAATCTATCCATCTATCTATCCATCCATCTATCTATTTATCAATCTATCTATTTATCTATCGGGGGAAAACGAGGCTTGACTTTGAGCGCAGAGCCCGCAGTGAGGTAAGAACCAGCGTGTTTTCGTGCACCCGGTCGGACCAGCGTGACCCAGATACGCCTGCAAAACCATCTCGTGGAATTCCACTCAATTTCTAGTCGCCGGATGCGGTGCTGCTTCTTCCGCGAAGAACAAATATTTTGAGGTTCGCGCGCAAACTTACCAGATGTATGTATGTATGTAGCGGCTCTCTATACCCCGCGTCGCCGTGTCACACGGCCGTCTTGTAAGCCGCCGGATGCGCGCTCCGAGAGAACCCGCTGAAACTTTCCGCGTTGCACCGGCTTTCGCCCTCGGATGCAATTCCTTTTCAATCGGCTGCGGATCAGCCCGTGCATGCCGCGCGTAATCTCGCGCACCCCGTAATGGAATCCCCCCGACCCGGAACCATCGGCGGCCGCGAGTCGAAATTAAAAAATATGTCTCGCAACGCATCTCCTCTCTTCTTATTTCCAAACTCGATCCGGCTCGGTGCTGTAATCGCCTTATACGTCTTGTCCCGCGTAACAAGCGGCAAGTGGCTTATTTCGGCCTCCGTTATCGTAAGAACGCGGCGGGAGGGAGGGGAATAAACGAGCATGGAGAGACAAATAGATTTGTCACGCTCGGGGACCGCTTCGAAGATCTTTTGACGACTCTCGTTGGATTAAGCGCGCGTCCTGTCGCATAAATATTTTTTTTAACCCCGTCCCCCACCTCTCTCTCTCTCTCTCTCTCTCCTTTCTTTCTGTCTTTCTCTTTCTCTCTCTCTTCACGCCGCCTGCCCGACAGACCAAGCGGAAACGGCTACGACAATAATCGCGCTTTTCGCCGGGTGCGAGGAGATGCGCGAGACGAAAAAGCTGGCGAAGTATCTCCGAATTATGCGGGGCCGGCCCGCGCGAAATTCGTAGCTCGGCTACCATGGCACGGCCGCCGCAGTTTCGCTCGGCGTTCCATTTGCATCTCAGGACGCGGAGAATTTACGAGAGAGCCCGGGGGTCGTCGATCCCGCACGCGCGCTCGCGCGAACCACGAGGCTGTCGCTCGCGCCCCTGTGTGTGTATGATAGACTCGATAAGTTATATAACTAAACTCTCGACGTATCATCGTTCGCGAGAGGGAAATATATTGGCGTGGTCGATACAGGGCGAGTCGATGTGGCACGTCGTCTCGACGTAGCCGAGATACGATCTTAATTATGCTAAACCAAGGCACGCGCGCGCGAGATCGTGCCTTTAATTGCAGACGCTGTTTCTGTTAATTAAGCGTGCTTCTTTCTCGCGATCGAGCGGCTTGGAGCGGCCGCTCATTCGCTCCCACTTCCGCGATTTTCTTATCTCCGCGAATGGAGGACACGGTTTCACCCTTTTCATTCGTGAACGTGCGCGGACATTCTCGTGTGTGCACTCTCGGTTTTCTGAATATTTCGTGTGTATCTCTGTCCCCCCTCTCCCCCCCCCGCCTCCATCTCCTCTGGTCATATCTATCGAATCGAATTCTCCATTCGGGATGATCGAGATTGTATCGCCTCGCTCTAAACCGGCCGCGTACTCGCAGTTAACGCGACCAGCTGACGCGGCCGGAATGTTCTTCGAATAAAGTTTCGCTCGACGTTCGGTTGCGGTGGCCGGATAGCGCCCTGCCGGGATATATATCGGTTACAAAAGTGACGTGGAAGTTTCCCTCGGAAGCAGGGGCGCGCACGTGAGCGAGCGAGCGGACGCTCTCGCGATGTTCCGGAAGCGATTAATTCCAACTACTTGGGATTTCCATGTATATATATATCTCTCTCTCTCAATGAGGCCCTCCCGATACTTCATCCGCCTCGCCGTCGTTAATTAGTCGCCGTCACCGCGACTCGATTTCGAGAGTCATCCCGCGAGTCTCTCTCCGGTTGCGCCCCGCGTGTGTCTTCGATGCAAGCGCGACCCGGAGGATCGCAAGTCCGAGGAGTTCGATCGAGCTGTGATCGAAGCGAGTCGCGACTTCGGGCTCCGGAAGCGACAATACGACGCTCCCGCTCGGGACTTCCGGCCGAGAAGCGCGAGGGGTGGAGAAAGGGGTGGCGAAAGGCGCGCACGGTGCGGACAACGAGGGACAGTGCGCATGGACGCGCGCGCGGACACGTTCGTCAACATAACGTTAAGCTTTAAGTGACTAAAAGAAAAGAAAAAAAATCGTATCGTACTGGTCTATCCGTGTATACGTCTCTCCATAGGTCTCTGACAGTGGGTTGGTCGCGACGCGTGGCAATCCGAGGCGCTCCTCTTCGCAAATGTATCCTGAGTCACAAAACGGCATAGACATAGCTCTCGAGCGCTGACATTTCAGCGCTTCAAGATGTCAAAATTGAGAGGCACTACTGACGCACTTACGCATGAATTGGTTATGGCAGTACAGGATGTGAAAGTGAATGTGAAAGGCAAATATCATAAACTTACTTTTCTTCTGAATAATCATATTTCGTGTGCATTTATTTTACTGTACCTACTCTGCTTGCTCATAAAGTTATTTGCATATGTTCTCTTCTTAGTTTCCCTTTATGCATTTCCTCGAGTACCGCTATCGCAGCAGTATGAGCCTAAAATACTTTACGTGTATTAACACGTTATCATGTTATTTCAAATTTATTTTCACACTTTGCACTGTCACTTCATCTCCTGTCATAACTGATTCATACACAAATGCATACGCAGTGCTTTTCAATTTTCACCTTGAAACAGCTTTAATGCTCAAAATGCATCCAAACCGTTTTGTGATTCAGTGGGTCACGAAACGATTTAAACACAATACAATTCAGAGCGTAGCCGATCGTCCAATGAGAGAACCTATTTTTTAATAATTCGTTCTCTTATTGGATCATTAGCTGCGCTCTGAAGTTTATTGCATTCTAAACCGTTTTGCTACTGTACACTACAAAAATTATTTCTGCGCTTGGAACTAGAATATTCGGCACACGTGAGTTGGTTGGCATTATTATATTTTTCACTTGTGCCAAGTGAATGGCACAAGTGTGGAATATATTAGTGAGAAAGCCAAACACGTGAGCGACAAATTGTTTGCTTATTATTACCAAACATTTGGTTGAGCTTATTTTGACCGAATTATAGTCCGGTATACCAAACAAGATTCTTTTTTTAGTGTGACCGCGGCGCAATGAAACGCGACATCATTCCGTCATGATCACACATACATACACCCTTATACACACGGAAAAAACAGTATGGTTGGCCCACGCATAAATCTAGTTGTGCCAACTGGATGCAATATCGAGTCTGGCTGGCACAACCAGATTTATGTATGGACCAACCATACTCTCTAAAGTACAATCAATGTATTTTTTACTGAAATATGTATGCTATACTTATATCTGACGGTACAGTTACAAGCATAGCACTGCAATCAGTAAAATCTCAATGAAGGAGAAGATCAGGGAATGATAATAATCATCTCTCTATTGACGCATTTTGCATACACAGACAGTGCCATTGTACGCAAAGCGCACGGTTGATTCTATCGTCGCAAACGCAAAAAATTGCATTTGGTATAACGTATCGCGAATTTATGTATTTTATTACCAATTTTTCAGTGAAGTCTTACTCCCAATAGTCGAAATCAACAAGAAATGAGACGTAGAGTGGAAACGCAGTGAAGTGGAAGTGTTATCACCGTAATTTACTGATCTCATTGGTGAAACAGTCCTCTTAGTGATTCAATTAGAAACATTTCTCACCGATTCACTTTAAGAGAGCACTGTTCTTTCCCGTGCACACACACACACACACACACACACACACACACACGCACGCACACGTGTTTCGGAATTGCACGTGGCGCGATAAATATTCAACAACCATGCGGCAATAACGGAACTCACTGACGGCCGAGCAAATCGAGCGGAGCGATCAGGCGCGATCGTTACTTAACTTCATTCGAGCTCCTTTCCATTCTTCCGTAAGTAGCGAAATCACACGCCGTCGCGGACGTAACGCGATGCATTTTGCATCGAATGCTCCCCAACGGAGTATCGGATTTTGCCGACTAAAAATGGCTTACGCGTGACTGTCGAGTACTGTGCCCGCTCTCTTCTCTCAGGGCGCCACTTCGCCTCCGGTGCATCGGCGCCGTTCACGTCGGTCGCTCTAAAGATCGTTAATTATGGAACACGAGAACGTAAGCGGCCGCGTAATGGCCACGTCACGGGCGCCAATGTGGCTGAGGTAGAGCACCGTTGTTTAATTTCATCGAATCGCTCGCGCATCGCATTGCTCGCTGCGCTCGCCATCACAAATTTAGGTCCATCGCCGTTACACGGCCGGTTAACGCCGCACTCGCTTCTGTTTATTTTCAGATTTGTTTTGCCGATTGTTTCCCGGATAACAACCATTGACAGAGCTATCGACGGAACAAACAGCGCGCTGACGCCATGAAAATTCGATAAGGCGTGTAACAATAAGACGCGGAAGGAGAGATCGGTCTTTCTTTCTTCTCGAGACGGTCTCCTCCCTCTCAATCTTTCTTTATTCTGCCTTTCGTTCAGCGAAGATAATTTCCTTGTCGCGCGGTGAGAGAATATTATAGTTTCTTTTTTTCGTATAAATTGTCTTCGATTTTACTATGTTTTTAATGCAGCCATATACTGTCAGTAGACAGTAGCAAGATCTCAATCTTGCTGAGGAACACGGCAAATTTCTTCTCAATGGCACATCTCAGTTCTTGAGGTGCACTCCAAAGTCTCTCTCTGAGGAAAATTTTGCTGAAAATCTATAGTTCACATTATATACACGATATGGATTTTTAGCTAAATTTTCTTCTTGGACAAAACCTTGGTTTGCGAACGAGAAATAATGATAAATATTAATTATAATTTTAATCTACATCTGATATATCAGATAATGCCAGTTTTACCAGTAATTGGATTAAAAAATGAGCCATGTCCTAATTATTGAACAATGCAGACTTAGTAATTAAATGATTATTAAATAATATCACACATTGGCAGAATGTGAGGAAATTTTTTTAAATAAAATTTCAAGTACCTTTTCAGAAATATTAAATACAAATGTATTTTTAATGTTTCAATCATTGGGACAAAGTTCAATTATTGAGACGTTTATCTTAACACATACGAAATGAAAGAATAACGAATTGACGCAGAATGTCGATCTATTCCTCCGTCACGAGATTTCACAGTGATTTTTACTATAAAATTCTCTCTCCGTGTGGAAAGTGTCGCTTATCAAGGACTCCGACGCCGCCTCGAATCCGCGCGATTATCAGCAGCGCGATCGACCCACGAATAGCCGTCGTACTGTACATACCTTCTTGAAGTGTAAACGATAAACGATCGCTGTAACTCTCTTCGGCATGACTAAGAACCACGATGTAACTCTTACTAATTCACGCTCCCTAGAACGACCGGGTACTTTGTTACCATTGAAAAACACGCGTGAGTCGAATCACGCGAGACTCTCGTCATCGATACTATCGACAGCCGCGCGGCCGGAAGGAAATCCTTTCCCGCGCCCCTTTCCCCGCGGAGCGGCGAGCTCGTTTCCCGCTCGACGGGAGGGGCAGAAGGTACACGCGTTGCGATATCGAGTCGTTTGATCGTCACGATCGTCACGGGCGAGAAAGAGGAGTTCACTCGATAACACGCCGGACGAATCGACCGTCAGTGTCAAAGATCAGAGATTCATTAACGAAGACACGGCACAACCTTGTAAATAAGAGATAAGAAAGAGTGCGGAAAAAGGAATCGCTCCCGATCGTCGTGGAAGTTAAACGGCTCGTCCGTGCGAATCAGGGGTGCGCAAGATGAGCGCGCGGAAAAACTAGTTCTCAGAAGTCCCTGTTCGGACTACTCACTTTTCTCCGATCTCTTCGCTCGCGTCTCAACGATACGCGCGCGAACATTAATCCCTCCGCCACCGTGTGTGCGAAGTGCGATCGCGTCGCTCTCTCTCTCTCTCTCTCTCTCTCTCTCTCTCTCTCTCTCTCTCCAGACTGGAACTTCAAGCTAAGAGCCACGACGCAGAGCGACGTGTTTGGGATTTCGCGTTTGGGTTGGCAGGAGGGTCGGACCAACCGCGACGAAATTTTGCGCACCTTTGAGCCCGCTAGTGCAAGTACTCGAGGTGCTTGAAGCGACCACTGCGTCTCTCCTGGAGGAGAAGAAACCGCGCGCGATAACGTGGTTGTATGTTCCTGGAGGAAGTGAAAAGTTCCCGACGAGAGAGACGCACGATCCGTCGTCGTCGTTGAGCGCGAGAATACGAGTTTTGAAATATCACCGCTACCGTCTCACACCCTCTCTTCCTGCCGCCCGTCCTCCTTTGCGCGTCCTCCTTATCCCACTGCCCCAGAGCTCTCTCTCCGCCGACCTTTCGATTCTTTCCTGCCTTTTCCACCCCCTGCCCCTGTCCCCGTGCTTTTTTATACGCCGAACGAGATCTGTCCTCGTTAGTACTTGTAAATGGCTTTCGCGCACGCGAGAGTGCCGGCTATTCCTATTCTCCTGCTTCTGTATATTCTGAAAAGGATAAAAGGCGAAGGATAAAAAGAGAGAGAGAGAAGAAGAAGAAGAAGAAGAGAACGAGACGAACTCGGACGCGAGCGCGATAATTGACCCTCGGACGCTTTCCTCGAGCCCTCGAGCTCGCGTCCGAGTCGCGAGAGCGAGAACGACGACTGGTAGCGAGTAAGTTAACCCGATTGTACGAGATCAATTACTGTTAGCACGAGCGATCAGCGTAACGCTCTTAGCGACACTACTCGAAAGATGTTAAACTAACGAAGTACCATTAATGTATATATATATAATATCGAGCAGTACCGACTTACCGTTTATGTTGGAATCCAATTGTACCAGAATTCGTAAGGCAATTAAAAGAGAAGGAATAACGATTATTTGTGGGAGACACACGGGAGATTCTCATTTTCAGCGAGCCACCGCCCAGCGGCGCCCCCCGACCCGGAGGGGCGAGGGGAAACGACGCGCGTCGATTTTTGCCCGTTTAGAAAAGCCCGCACGAGAAATTGGATCATTTATTTGCATAACGCCCCGGCCCCCCTCGCCCCCGACCGAGCCCCTGTCCTAGTCCCCGACATCCAGTCGCATTTTTAATTAAACGACTGGATTTTCGACCGAGGTCGAGTTCATTTCGCGGTCCGCGCCGAGCGCGCTGGAAAACGACGTGTTGTTACGGGGATGGGAGAACTCTGTGCGCGTATCGCATATGGCGAAAGCTGCGAATACAGCGGGACATTTCGTGTTTCTTATGCACTTGGCCGACTCACTCGCCGACGTCGCGACGATTCTTCACCGGCGCAAAATAACGGTAGTTTATTCGCCGTCATGCGTTTTCCACCGTGCCGGCGAACGAAAGTCCGCGCTCCCGTCGTCCCGCGAGGCGCAAAACGCGTACATCTCGAGCAGCATCCATCCCAGTTACCTCGTTCCTTCTCCCACAGCTCCTCCCCGTCGAACGAGAATTACGTGACGTCGAAACTCGTCGAGCGTAATGGAGGACGAAAAGAAGAAGAAGAAGATAGGACAGAAGAGGAACAAGAAGAAACTCCGGCAAAGTCAACACGCCCGCGAAGACAACGGACGCCTTCTATCTGACCCGTCGGACTCGCCAACCTCGTCGTCTTCCGTAAGTACCTTGGCCTTTTGTCTGCGAACACTGCACGCCCGGTGTGACGTACGGGGGAGTCATTTGCATCCCGTTGGTTCCGGAGCCGATGGCGGCCAATCTCTGGCTTGCCGATACGCCGCTGTCGATAAACAGCGGCCCGCAGTGGCTGCATAAACGCGGCCACCATGCACATAGACGCGTCGCGAGATGAGACCAGCGCGTTGGCCATTGAGGCGTACGTCCGATGAATACACACACGTAGGCCGTACCTCATATCTTACATACCTACTTAGTGGCACTTAAGCGGATGCCCGGCATGGGCAGAGAGACCATCCGAGGGTCGTCGGTCGGTCGGTCGGTCGATCGGTCGGTCGCCCGGCCGGCCGGCCGGCTGGTTGCCAACGGGGACAATTTCGATGTAAGCCTCCGCTTGGACGTGGCCAGATTAGGATCGATGTAGGTCAGCACGTGGACACGCTCGAGGAACAACGGGCAAATATGATTTCGCCCGGCGTTAATCCGTTTAGCATTCGCGTAAAATCGATCGATATTTGCGCCGGCGGGCCTCTCTCTTGTAGCGAGAGGTTGGCGTTCTCAGCCGGGACCCATTTCGACATTTGGGAATCTTTTTCTGAAGATTTAGCGGGTTTTCAATTGAATAATCGACGAGTTGATTCGTAAGAGGGAAATTTGTCTCTTTCGGAAAACGTGATAAGTCAATCACGGCATCTACTGTTGGCGGGTTGCGGTCAACTCGAACCCGACAATGTTTTGTGATAAGCGCGATGTAATCCTCTAGGACGTCTCAAAAGTGAATAAAATTCAGATCAACTTTTCAAATGTTACCGTTCTTCGAAACGTGTGTTTCGTTTCTTCATTATAACTTTTTTCAGCTTCATTGAATCGCAAAAATATTATATTCATATTTCTCGGTATTCTCTATACCGATTTTTTAAAAAAAGATTGAATTTCGATCATTTTTCCAGAAGTTGGGAGCAAATGAAAATGCGCTGAATAAAATTTATCCATATCTAGGGTTTACGTGACTTCCTGATATTTAGGATTCTACAGTTAATTATATCTCGATACGAAGGTGACTTAAGTCGAAATACTGGTTCTGCGATTAACTCTGCAAGTTCCGACAAGCTGGGAGAATAATCTCGAGATATAATGTTATCGTTAAATACAAGCTATTGTCCTCTCTTTGATACTACAAATGGCATTATCATATTCTCTATGACAAAGGATAAAGAAAGATCTGCATAAGAGTCTATTCAAATGCTTCAAATCCAGTATTTTAAGCTTTTTTAAAGAAATTAATACTTAAAATTGTTCAACATTCGATTATTTCAATATGTCTGCACTTGATTTCTAAGTACTTCTCGTTTTAATCAGCAATGTATTATGTAATAATATTAAAATAGAGAGAATAATTAATTATTATATACTATAATAATAGTATATAATAATTATGTGTATAATAAATACGCAACTTATATACGCAACTTATTCAACTGCCGACAGCGTATATATGCGTACGATAAATATTAAATAATCTAACAAAGATTAATAGAAGAGTGAGTAAATGAAAAAAATTTTTCATAATCTCTTTTTCTTTAGCGTTAGAAATTACAATGGTATTTAAAAATTCAAAGTGTGAAAAGAGGAAGTTGTCAAAGACCACTACGTCCTATATTCCGTTTTGGAGTTTGCTTCTGGCCTCTTCATCGCGGTCAAGCATTCGACATTTCCACCCGAGAAAAGTACGAGTCAATCGGAGAAACGCGTTTAATAGTTTAAAAGTTAAGAGAATGTTAGAGTCAAACTCTCTTAGACAGATTATTGACTTTTTTGCAAAGTACACGTTGCATTGGCTGCGTAAAATTGCAAATGTTCTCATGCGATAAAAATATATGCAAAAAATGAATTGGAGTATCGCTCAATATACGACAAAAACGATAAAAAATTCCAAAGTTTACATTTCGAGTGTAATCAGTCTGTTGGGATATTGTCGGGTTAAAGTAAATATTTATCTAATAAAAAAATCTGTATGCTAAGCGCGATTTTGCTATTTACTCAAAAAAATTTCAAAGCACATTACTGTTATTTTTACATTTAATTTCGAAACTTGGAAATACCGGAAAAGTTGACAGAAAGATTGCTACATATGCGTAATTAGATTTATAATAAATATGGTAAAGCGAAACAACATTCACTTATATAAGTACGAAAAATACGAAGACGATAGCGTGATTGTGTTAGTGATGATCCTATATTATCGTATCTTTGGAATTCGTCACAACACCTTAAGAAGATGCTGAAGCTGGAAACTTTACCGACAGAATATTGAACATTTTTCTGCAAAGTTTACGTCGTGTTGGTTGTACAAAATTACAAATGCTTTTATGCAATGAAAATATATGCAAAAATAAATAGGACCGTTGTTCAAAACGTGACGAAAACGAAAAAGAAATTTTAAATGTAAAATCTGAAACTGTCAGCATAATATTTGTCCAATCCAAAAGTTCCGCAGCTTGTACATAACGAAAGCGTGGATGCTCCAAACAGGAAAATTTTGAAGAACATTACTATACTTTCGCATTTGAATTCAGAAGCTTTAGAATATCGAAAAAGTTTGCAGAAAGATTTCTGTGTGGTTAGGTTTTCCGCTGAATATGGTAAAACATACTTTTACGTAAGTTCTGTATGTATATACAAGAAATACAAAAAGGATAACGTGATTATATGACGATTGTAATGACGATACATTATTAACGTCTCTACGTTATTCATATTTTTCGAGTTCATCATCGACTCCAACATCTCTTTAACCAGCGGTGATTGTCCGATACTATGAGAGTCAGTTTTTATATGTATCGCGCTTGTAACCGTTCTGATAACTCAATAATTGATAATTTGATTCACAACCCAATCCGCGTACTCTTTCGAGATTGTCGAGATTTCTAGGTTACCGAATGTACTCGCCATTGATTGGAGTGATTTCGAAGATAAGTCAGTTGCTTTGATGCTCTCGTGTATGTCGCGCATTTGTTCGTGACCGAGATTATATCTCGAATCGACAAATGTAAACATACCGTCATGCGGAGCTACATGTCTACATCGGTGAGTTGTTTACAGTCCTCGTGTTTACTGTCGAATGTGTGATCAATATTATAATATTAAATATTTTGCCATCTCTTTAAATATTCAGATGATCTCTCATCGCGGCTTTTCTCCGCACGTGTTTTCTCCGATCGAATCGTAATGCGTATGTGATGTGTGTGTCAGTGAGTGTCTAATGCGACGAAGAATCCAGGAGTAAGATGCCCAATTGAGGAGCCAGAACGCCGAGATGCAAGTAGCGATATATTTCCTAGCGTTTCGAGTCATTTACCACGCGGAATATTCCCGACTTTAACTAAGGTGACCAGATTTCCCAGCCCTGAATTCGGGACACTTCATAAATGTATGAAGCGGGGAAGGAGGTAAAAAGATCCGAAAATTATTTGACAATTATTGAAAATAATGACAAATCGGTGTCCCGAATAGCACTCGAAAAAATTCGAGACAAAGAATGAAAAACCGGAACTGTCCCGAAAAAATCGGGACGTCTGATCACCTTACTTTAACATACGTTTCACGAATTTACCGAGAATAAGGAGGTACACATACATACAAACTTTAGAACGAAATTTAGAATCTATTCTAAGACCGGCATTCAAATAGTCTGTCATTATTAAATAAATAATCGCAGCTTCATGAACAACTGATTATTCGTTAATCGATAATACGTAGTATCTCATACAATAAATAATTGACCCAAATAGCTGATCAACCGTCCATAAACGCGAGTCTAATTAAGTGTCTCTAATTAAGAGCTCTCAATCAAGAATCGTGAATAATAATTTACAACTATCGAATTTAAGTAACTTGTTACTACTGATGTTTGTTCCTCCAAAAAAAAAGTCCGTTTAGTCACAAACTTGAACTTCAATCTACCAATACTTCTTTTTAACTTCCAGTTATCTTGTTATTGTAGCGAATCCGAGTTTAAATTGTAGTTGGCTATCTTTAATCTTTCAAATATATATATATATATATATATATATATATATATATATATATATATATAATATTCTTTCTTCTCGCGCTTTTTCAACACATCTGAATCCTATCGCAACTTTCAATGATAATAAAAAAGAAAAGACAATAAGAGATTGTGAAAAAATAAAATGTTTCATTTATCCGTTAATCCGTTATTTGCCCATTTCAATTATTTTATATTTATCGTGCGCGTACACTGCAATTGAGTAAATTAGCTAATCGAGTATATTAGCTGATCCAATATTTATTGACATTAAAAATAAAGATAAAATACAGATAGAATATTCAGATAATGGATATCAAATAAGTATCGAATACGTGTTTCTCCAAGCTTCCACGTGGAAAAAACAGCATTAAGTAAACATTTTCCACATAGGATAATAGAGCGTTATATCTCGACATTATTTTATTGATCCTTCAAATTTAACGGAATTTGCAGGATTATTGCAGAAGCAAAATTTCGACTGGAAATATCTCGTGATTTGTGGTGTTTGAAAACTAAGCGTTTTGGTCAGCTGTAAACGGACGTTAACTTGGCTTAAATCATCAGTCGATAGATTTCATCGACGAAGTAACCGGTGCAGCATCATGAGATTTTCTTGCATAGACTCGAGACAACCGCCGCGCATAAACCGCGTCGTAACGAGTGTTAATTAAGGTTCCTGGGTAGTCAGCCGAGAAATCCGCGTTGACGGTGACATAATTGAAAACGACAAAATAATGAGCTATTAGGTGAGAAAATAGGTCTGTTCGAATGATACATCTTTTTATTTAATCGTAGTTGACAGGAATTTTGGACATGATTTTCCTCGCTTCTGGCGTCATCAATCCAATATGGTCACAGTGTGATTATCCAGGAACCTTAAAGTAACA